CAGTCCCCATGGATAAGAAACAAAAGCTACTGTGACGTGATACCGGGCTTTGGCCTCTTTTATTTTCTTTTTACAGTCAACTCCACGTGTAAAAGACTTCATAAAGCATTGTGGTTCTGGCTGTACCCCGGGTGAGCTGCGGAGAAAAGGGCTGGCTATTCTGGACAGACTTCACTGGGACCTCCACACGGGAACATTGCTGGGCTTCTTGGTTATAATAAGCAGGGGTTTACAGAGTCTCCCTGAGACTCATCTGTGCCTTTGGAACAGCTGTTTACAACACAGAACAGGCAAGGCACAGGCGGGCAACACATTCTTGCACATGCACCACGGCGAGGTGACCCACAAAGGCTCACAACATACGGAAGAGTGAAAAAAATGTTATCTTTATATCCCACACCATTCCACCAGGCTCTCATGTCTAAAGGACACAGAATTCACTCGACAAAGACATTTGGACAGCACTGTTAGGATCAGTTTCTCTCTTAAATACACACTGCAAAAATATTTAACTTTCCGTTCTATGAATATTGTATATAAATATGTCTGCCTTTGCTATACTTTACACACATTCACTTAGCTGTCTTTATTCACCGACATAACAATCCCTATTGAGGCGTTAGACCGTACTGATCTAGCACTTAAAAAAAATAATCAGACACCGGTTCATGTTGGTTTTAGTTGGGGGATGGAGGCCATCCTTCAGGATATGCTTCTGTTAGTAAGGCAAAAATTATGCAAATGAGGAAATGTCGTGACGTTTTGGTCTGTTATGAAGCATGAAGGTTAAATCACTAACGGCAGTTTCACTATGGAAAACTGGTGCTGTTGACAAGGCTGCAGCTTTCTCCTCAGGTCAAGCAGTTACCGGTAACTTTCCCAGCTCCCTTTCTCTTGAACAGCAGGTTCACGTTTCTCAGAATCCACACATGGCCATCTATACGCTTCAGCCATAGAGTGACCACAACACCTACCAGACTATCTGGGAATGAAAAGGGTTGGGCCACACCGGATGCTCCCTGACGGCAATAGAAACTGTTTGCACTTTGGGTTATTGATATGTGAAAACTAGGGGGGGAAGGGTGGGGCTCTGTCCTAACATTAAAAAGCATGGTCTCCAGTTCCACGCCCTGATGGTCCTGAGCTGGCCCCCATGTGGCGGCACTGCTGCCTCAGAGGAATCCTTCCCTCCACGTCGCGTCCCTGACCAGGCAGCTGCAGCACTGTATGGCAGGCCACCAGCTGCTGCAGTTCAAGGGTTCCACATTGGCTTTGGTCATCATCACCTTAGAGCTGGAGAGGCTCATGCCCGACTGCTGTGCTCCTATATCTGATCTGCTAAAGAAAGCACAGGTAGACATCAACTTGGCCCTTCCAGCTGATGCGCTCTATGCTGAAAGGGGTACCCATGGCCCTTCTTGTTCCTTTGGGGGCCCCAGGAGATGCACTTAGCAAGACATCTATGGCACGAGTCTGACTGCAAGCCATGCTTTCTGTGTGGGCTCGTGCTCTGTGTTCCCCAGGATGGCAAACCTTGAACTCACGGGGAAGGGATTTTGGCGGTGAGGAACGAGAATACAGGCAGTCTGATGTCCAAGATCAGGAATGGGTGGAGGATTTGGGTGCTTAATATTGAGGATTATAACGTCCAGACTTTCCTTCTCTATGAATCTGTGGTGACAGGCACAGGGTGGGGGCCATGTCAGCAGCTCTCAAGACAGATTAGGATGGAGTGGTAGATTAACTTTAGTTATTGAGGATGGAGATGAAGGTTCCTAGGATGGTAGTTAATGCTATGAAGTAGGGTAGTTGTGCCATGCTCAAAGTGCCTCATGTGATCGTCCTGGCATTTGACTGCCCCTTCCTGTGTCTGAGATGACTGTTTCGAGGTTACCGCTCTGCTGACATACCTGTCAGTGCTGAGCAGTACGGTGGCTTCGAGGTGCTTGTGAAGCCACGCCTGAGAAGACTGTGGTTACCCTCCAGAGCCAATTCTGTTTCACCTGCCAGCCAGCCTCTCTGCCCCCACCACCCTGAGACCTCCAGGACCTGTGGGAACTCACCATGCTTGGACACCTATGAATTCTTTGGCTTTAAGAGTCTCATAATGAGGCCGGGAGAAGGTTCTACAACCACTGGAGAAGCTCCTCAGTCCTCAGAAGAAAGTTATATCACGACCAGAAGAGGTAAGGTGGCCAGAAGCTGAGACCCTGTCTTCCCTGTCTGTCCCCTGGAACCAGCAAGCCAGGGAGAAGGCTGCACTCTGACTTTTCCTTCCTCAGCAAGGACTGGTTCTGTCCCTCAAAGTTGGAGTGAGAGCCAGCATGAGCCCTCCTCCGCCTGAAGGATGGGGCTGCTCCTCAGGCTTTTTTCCTTTTCTTACTATGTGGTCAGGGCTGGCTCAGCACTCACTGAGATCCCCAGTGCTAGGATTAAAGGCGGGAGCCACCATGCCTGGCTCCCTCACAGACCAATCCTTGCTGTCTACCTGCCAGGCTTGGCCAGGTCCCTCCAGCTTCTTAGTCTTGTCCCAAACACAAAAGTAGCAGCACTTCAGTCCCAGCTACCCTGCTCCCTCTAAAAGATGGGATGTCTCTGGACCCGAGTGTCCCCATGTGGTGGTGATTTGCACCTTCTCCTGAGGTCCACATCAGGCAGCAGCACATCTCCTCCATGGACTCAGACGCCCCGGTTCCCTCCTGCAGAGGACTTCATGCTAAGGATGCTTCCGTGACACACATGGAGGGGATGCGGAGTCCCGGGCTGCTGAGCCCAGCCTCTCCTGACTGCCATGCTGCCAGGAGACCTGCATGGATGGCAGGGAGGAAGCCAGCTGCCTCTCTGGAGCCATGCTACTGTCAAGCCATTCTCAGAGCTGTGGAGCCCAGCTGGCCAAGACGCCAGCTGGACCCGTGTCAGTCCCCAAACTGGGGACTTGAATGACTAGGCCATAAATTTAGAGGTGGTCCGTGAAGCTTTGCCACTGTGAGTGGCTCTTTCATAAATGTGCTAAGCCATGGGGTGGGGGTGGGAGTGGGTACAATGTGTTGCCAGATGCTCACTCTGTGGTCAGGGACCAGACAGGCCACATCGTGAGGCCAGGGTACCATTTTACCACTTCTTTGGTTTTGCTTATTAGAGCTTACACACACACACACACACACACACACACACACACACACACACACACACACACATTTATTTATTTGTGTATTGTGTGGCGATCAGAGGACAATTTGTGGGCGTTAATTCTCTCCTTCTACTACATGGGTCTCGGGGAATCAAACTCAAGCTGGCAGGCTTAGCAGCAAGCGCCTCTACCTGACGAGTCATTTCACCGGCCCCCTTTTTCTTTTCTTTTCTTTTCTTTTCCTTTTTCTTTGAGCCCAAATTGCAGCCCGGCTGACCTCAAAGCTAAAATCCTCCTGCTTCAGCCTGTGGAGTACTGGGATGGCAGGCACAGGGCAGCACACCTGGCTGCTGGAGGGTTCTGTAAAAATGCACTCTGAATGGCTTTCAGTGCTGCTGGAGACCTACTTTCCATTCATGGAACTCTTGTGTATCTCCTGCTAGAGTCGTATATTCCTGGAGCCCTGTCCTCTGGGTCCTGTCAATAAGCGTCCTCCAGGTAAGTCCTGGGAAGACCAAGAGAAAATGGGGATAAGGTAGGGAGCTGACAGTGGCCAGAAACCTGACATTCAGACATCTCCAGTTGCCTACAGCAGGGCGGCAAGGTAGACATGCTGACTGGCCTCTTGCTGTTCCATCCAGAGGCCGAGATGTTTCTGTAGACACTGTGGATTGGACGAGAGTTCACCTCAAGGGCTTATACCAGTGTGGGTATCCTGTGGGTGTCTGCTGCATAGCACCTGGGCCTGTCAACCAGGTGGCTCTAGCTGTAAAATGTCCCCCAGGCTGATCTTATTCTCAAGCTCATACATAAAGAAGGCAGCTCTAAGAATCCCATACCAGAGTGAGGAGGTGGCCTGTGTGTCTGCAAATGAAGTAACTCTTCTTGGGCAGCGACCGCTTCCACTGCCAATGTACCACTGTGCATTGCTAAAAGACTGCATGGGGGCCTGGGGTCTGTTCTGCTTGCCTCTTTTAGTTTTTTTTACTGGCAACTCACCTCACCTCAACACACAAATGGGAATCCCTATGGTTGGTTAACATGAACACAATCCACCTTTCTTCTGTCCCCACCTGCAAGGGCCAGGGGCTAGTGAGGACTGAGGTCAGGGGACGTGGAGATGGGAGAAAGACCAGAGGCAGCTTGTTCTTTCCAACCACCAGTCCACCCTTCCATCCATTCCCCCAACCCCCCAGGCTTCCCACCTCCACACACCATCTCAGTCCCACGGCCCACACCATCACACTATATAACGATGACATTTCCACTCTTCCCCTGTGACCCTGATGGGATGGTAGGCTTTAGCTCAGGAATTCAGGATACAGATAACCAATATTCAATTCCCAGCTCTTCCAGCTGCTTGCTCTGCCGCCTTAGGCAATTATGAAACCTCTCTGGGACTTCCCCTGAAAATTGAGGACAGTAATAATATCTAATCATAGGATGATGAGGATTAGCGATGTTAGAGCACATCATTACAAGAGCTGAAAACACGTAAGTGTTAGCTGTTCCAAGCCAAGCTTCCTTAATAAAGATGTAAACTCCTTGAGATCAGGGTATGCCCTGGACCTTATAACTCAGTCTTGGCCCCTATAACTCTTCAACAGCCACAGACTGTAGATTCTCTTTCCTGTGACTCCTTCAGTCCACAAGCCCTCACAGGTGCCTGCATCAAGATTCACTAGGAAATGGAATTCTTTCGGGAGATTGTCCCCCGCCCCCCCCCCCCCCCCCCCCCCCCCCCCCCCCCGCATCCCTGCAAAGGTCACAGCGGAAGCAGGCTGTATTTTGCCACAGCTACAGGATATTAATATGCTCAAGAAACTCGAATCAGAAAAAGCTACTGCCCAAAAATGACACTGTAAAAAGCTCAAAATAAATGCAAAATTTAATGAAAACAAATGAGTACAAAGTGGATGGGAAGGAACGGAAACAAGTCAACGACAACAGATGGAGCGGATGGAGCGGCAATGGTTAACAACTGAAGTGGTTTTAGAAATGCATGGTAACATAACAGACAAGCAGGCCGGCTTTCCTGGGCGCTTCCCCAGTAGGAGCCCCAAGCAAGGGGAGTCCACACACACACACACACACACACACACACACACACACACACACACACACACACACACACACACACGGAACATGTACGGGGTCAGTGTGCATAATCACAAGGTGCCTGGATTCAGGCCACCCAGCACGAGGGAGAACACACACCCTGGTTGGCTTGAGATACACCTACTTGGTGGCTGCTGAGTTGGGTTTCTTTGCTTAGTGCTGGGGAGAGAATTCAGTCCCCAATCATGCGAGGCAAGTTCTCTAGCAATGAGTCACATGCCCAGCATTTTTTGTTTTTTTGTTTTTAATTTATCACGGGATCTGGTTAAGTGGCCCAGTTTGGCCTTGAACTTTTGATTCTCCTGCCTCAGCCTCCTGAGAGCCTAGGGATTTGGCATAATTATTTCTTTTTTTTTGAGATTTATTTATTTATTATACAGTATTCTGCCTGCATGTGTCCCTGCAGGCCAGAAGAGGGCGCCAGATCTCATTACAGATGGTTGTGAGCCACCATGTATGTGGTTGCTGGGAATTGAACTCAGGACCTCTGGAAGAGCAGTTGGTGCTCTTAACCACTGAGCCATCTCTCCAGCCCTTGGCATGATTATTAACAGGATCTTTTCTCTCTCAAAAGTCCAGCTTGAACTATAACTTACACAGTGATTCTACCACAACACAGAATGACTAAAGGAAAACGTAACAGCAAATGTCAACATGATCCTATGACAGTCCCCATGGAGCCAACAAATGAGGAGTCAATCTCAGCTGGACATGAGGGTCACGTCCCCCAAGGGCAAGCTTCGGGTTTTTCTTGCACACCAAGGATTAATGTAACCTCAGCTAAAGATAATGGAACTCCACACAGCAGGGGAAAAGTTTGCCATGGCTGACAGGATCCATGGGGGGGTGGGCAACTTAGACTCTAGAAAATGCAAGTCAGGTCTCCCCAGGGATGCTGGCAAGCTTTGGGCCAAAGGGTGGGCACTGACCACAGCAGCCTTCCCGTCGTGGCTGGTGAGCTGCAGGTGACAGCAGGGGAATTTGCTGGCTCCAGAGTCCCGGCATGGACCGTGAGTCAGCAGTCCTATCTTGTACAGCCCGCTGGCTCATCCTAGTCTCTAAACATATTGGCTAGGAGAGGCCGCTCTGAGGTCAGGCTTGGACCGAAGTGAATACACCTTCAGATACACAGTTTCCCTAAGAGGAGCCCCTGGCCTGCAGTTCACCTCTGCCTCAGACACCAGAGTCCAACATCAGTCCTGCCATGACCAGAGGCGGACTAGGGGCGGAGCACACAAGGCTTCCAAGGTCTGAACCTAATTTTATATTTTTCTGCTTAAAGCAGTCTTTGTAAATCGTTCAAGAGTCCAGCCTTGCAGCCAGGATCCACCCTGGTTATGGAGGATTTTTCCTCAGAGCATCAACATGTACTATTCTCCTACTGTGTGGAGCCTCTCCCAGGTACAGGCGGCCTTTGGGGAGCTGTGCCTCAGTGGACTCACAACAACCTTCCTCTCCAGCTCACTCTGAATGAACCATCATCTCAGAAGGACAGGAAGAAGCCAGACTGGTCCTGGACGAAGAGAAGCAGGCCTGGCCGAAAGGGGAAAACGGTGATGGGAGGGAGCTGGGGCATAGAAACTGAACGCAGCATGAATCAGCGTGGTCCCCTCAGGTTCTCAGTGAGTGGGCCCTGGGTGATCAGCTCCTCAGGATGAAGTTTCTGGGGAGCCCGGTGCAGCCGGTGCTGCACCAACACTAAGGACATTCGTTTTCACCCCACTTTCAACCCTGAGGCTTGCAGACCACCAGGAGCAGAGCAGAATGGATTCTGTCAGGACTGTTCTTGTTTTTACCCTGTTTTTGAGATAGGGTCTCACGTAGCCCAAGCTGGCCTCTACCTCGACCTCACTCGGTTATGAGGCCAGCTCTGGCTTCCCCCCTCCCAAGCGCTGGCATTAGAGGCCTGCCCCATTACGCCTGGCAGCCACTTTCTTAAAAGTGTCCACCTGGAAACTACAGCCAGAGGGGAAGCTCTTAGCCACTAGGCTTTGGTTTTTCCTTTCTCTCTCTCTTCCCCCCCACCTCAAACTGTCCTAACACTTCAGACACCTTTATTTCCTTACCCCATGACTTGGCCAGGAAAGAAGTAACAATGACCTTGACATGACGGCCTTCTCCCCACTGAGCACGCTGGTTGGGAGCAGGCGGCTTATTTGGAGTCAGACATTTAACACACATGTACTTGGTCCCTGTCACAGGTAGCACCTCTAGGTCAGAGACAAGGGCTTTGGGCTGCTGTTCCATTTACATTCACAGTAAAAATGCCGGGCGTGGTCTTGTTCGGGGTCCACTTCAGTCCGTAAAGAAGTCCCAAACACTGCCAGAATAGGAACTTTATTTCCCACCTCTCCCTGTGTATCATAGGAGTGCTTTCTGTGTAAGAAGGTTTAGAGCTCTTTTTAGTTTTAAAAAAAAATCAGGGAATCTGTGTTACTTACGAAAATAATGGGAAAAATAGATATTATTTTTCTTTATACTGGTGCCAAAATAAAAATTTAGAAAATGTTTCAAAGTTATTGAAATTAAGCTCTAGGTTAGAAAAATTAAAATGAAGGGGAAACAGGCGAATTCTGCAGCGAGTATATACCAGACCACAGGCCACGCCTAGGGCACCACATGAGTCGCCGCCGCCGCCGGCTTGAGGATGAACAGTTAGGCCTAGCATCCCTGGCTGGGGCCATCACTAGAGCGGCACATAACTGCTCCGTCAAGGAATAGTGACACTGTAAATGGAAGACCAGCCACCGGCTCTGGAAAAAATAAACCTCGTCAGTTTGGAATTCCAGCATTCATGGCTTTGACACGCTTGCATAGAGAGGGGTGCCGGCCAGGCCCGGGCAGCCTGGGGCCAGCGGGTAAGGACAAGGCAAGGCTGTAAACACTGGAGTCTGTACCGGCTCCCAGTCCATCCTCACACCATGTTATGGGAGAAGGGTCACAAGGTGTAACTCAAGCAACTTAACACATGAAAGTCTAAAGTCCGCTCTCGACATGTAAGTCTGTGCGTGCTTTAACTGAAAAATAAAAATAAAACAAACAAAACAAAAACAGACACATTAAAAGATACGCAGACCAAATCAAACAGAAGCAAAGACAGCAAGGTGGGCACTGGGAGAGGGCAGTCAGTTTGGCATTTGTGATGAGCCAAGCAGGGAGCTCGCTTCAGTTTGTGGCGTCCCGGGCTGAGGGTCAAAATCTGATTGGGAAGTAATTTCGCAAAAATTGATTACAATTTACAGAATGAGTACAAACCAACCAAAGCCATTTAACTAAATGGCCACGACATCATCCACTCCCAAATGCACGCCTGGTCCACCCTATCCCACTGGACCCCTGAACCCCAATTCTAGCTCCACAGGGACAGAGTGCTCTCTCCCAGGGCCAAACTGACTGAAGCTCTCTGGTGTAACCCACCCCACAGAAAGGGCTGGCCTTCCAGAACCAGACCTGGGCAACAACATTCCAGGAGACCAGACAGCTGGGACAGGCCTCTACTGAGAGCTGGGTCTATCTTTGCAGTGGGGGTTCCACCCTCAACTGCCCTGCAGTCTCTTCCCCCCGCCCCTACCTTTTTTTTTTTTGAGACAGGGTCCTTGCTATGTAGCCCAGGCTAGTCTAACAACTCATTACATAGCCCAGGTTGACCTCAAAGTTAAGAGCAACCCCCCTGCGTTTGCCTCCCCAGTGCTGGGGACACAGGCATGTGCTACCATACCTGGCTGGCGCTGGGGCTTCTCCCAGTTTCTTATTTGGGGACACTGCCTCCCAACCTCTACTTTCACAAGATTGCCTGGGCCACACTAACAGGGAGCAGGGCAGAGTCACTTTGAGTATCCGGACTCTGTCCCCTGTCCCTCTCACAAGGAGGCCCATTTCTGAGCTGCCGGCTTAAAGCTCACACTGGCTGTACCTCAACCTCCACACTCACCAAACCAAGGGCTGGGCCTGGGACCAGGGCTGAATAGGCAGCTGGGGTGGGCTGTCAGGCCTCAGGATAAGGAAGACTACAAAAAGGGGGACACCCGTCCCAAAGCAGAGAGCAAGCCTTGGGAACCACAATATCCATCTATTCCTATGTGCTTTGTCTGCACCCCAGAGAAGCACTTAAAGTTTGAGGCAGGAGAGTAAGTGTGTGTGTGTGTGTGTGTGTGTGTGTGTGTGTGTGTGTGTGTGTATCAGTGAATGCCACCTAGGGGTGAGGCAGGACACTGGCGAGTTCATGCACCAAGATGTATCCCAGGGCCACAGCTAACAACCCACTGTGTTGGTCTAACCACCAGACTCCACTGCCCCCAAGAATGGCAGCCTTGGGTATATGTATCCTTCAACAATACAATGGAAAACAGCAGCCCAGGAATGAGGCTGAGGATGGATGCTTGGTTTGGGGTGGGGGGCGGTTTGGAAAGAAAACAATGAGAGCAAATGTAAGCCAAGGGCCAGGGAAACACAGCCTCTTCACTACTTCAGCAGTGAAGAGGCCCCAGATGCCGAGGTGAACGGGAACACCACGGAATGACGGGGCCTGAGTCTCCAAATGAAGTAGAGTGGGAAACTGAGAACCCTGGAGACAGGGTATCAGACTCCGGATAAGATCGCGGGAAAGGACTATGGAGAACATGAATATGGCTGGGGATGTAGACCAATGGTAGAGAACCTATCTAGCATGTGCAAGGCCCTGGGTTCAAATCCCTAGAACCACAAAATTAATAAATAGTTTTTTTGTTTGTTTGTTTGTTTGTTTGTTTTTTTAAGAAGGCAAAGAAAAGAAGGAGGCAGCAAAGGCAGGGGGTGGGCCAAGCAAAGAAAACGCTAAGGAAACACGGCTAGGAACTCTTCTGTGCCCCTTACGTTGGCACACCTGGGAAGAGCCTCCTTGCCATCTGTCACTCTCTACTCTACAGGAACTGCTCCAACCCCTACGAGAGGAGCAGCCCCGGAGCCCTGCAGGGAGGGTCCATGCTTTCGGCCCTGCAGAAAAGTAGCTGTGAGGAGATGACAGTGACGGGCAGTGCTGACTGGCCTGCCCTTACGGGTCCCTGCTGTTAGGTGTCACCAGCTACCAGCTACCAGGATTCCACACCCCAGCCCCAGAGGCCTAGGGGACATATGCCACAGCTGCTCAAGCAGAAGCACAGGCTCTTTTGGAATCTGGCAGGAAACGAGGACAGTCCCACATCTGTCCCTCTCCTGGACTGGCAGACTTGTCCCAGTCTCCTGTGGCTACACCTGCTTGGCTGTTCCTTGCTACTGGCTGCCCACGTGACCCAGCTCCTTCACTCCCACAGAAGTGAAGAGGCCCCAGCTGCTGAGGATGCTGTGGGAGGATGAGGGAGGAGAGAGGTCAAAGGGGGGCCAGATGGAGAGTAAACAGCTACGAGAGAGAGAGAGAGAGAGATCTAGATGGTGGGACATGGAGAAGACTAGGGCAGGAGCAGGATGGAGGTCCAAGGAACCGGTAGAGAGCAAAGGAGGAGGTGAGCTGGAGGCTGGGCACGGGTGAGCGGTGACCCAGAGGGACTGAGTAGTGGAGAGAGAGAGCAGGAGTGACTGAGCCCAGGGGGAAGGAGACAGCCCAGGGAGGGAGATGCCACTTACTTCTTCTTGTCCTTGTCTTTCCGCAAGGGCTGCTGTGACGTGGCATGCAAGGCCTGGGACTGCAGGGCCTCCATGGCCGCCTTCCTGCAGTTGAAGGCGTTGGTCTCCTCCTCCAGCTCCCGGCGCTTCTCCTCCACCTTGCGCTTCTCCTCCTGGTGGATCCGCTTCAGGTGCTCAAACTTCTCATGGAGCTGGGCAGGAGAGAAGGGAGGCACCTGGGTACGGGCGGAATAGGTCCCCCCCATCCACATCAGCCAGCCTGCCCTCACGTCCTCTCCACAGCCCCCTAGGCCTGACACACACACCTCCCGTTCCTTCTCCTTCAACTCTAGCTCTGTCTCCTTCACTTTGTTGACGAACATCTGTCTCATCTCTTCCTCCTTCCTCTGAAGCTCGCTCAGGAACTCCTTCCTCTTGGCCTCGTATGTCTCTTGGAGGCTGTGGAGACCCAAAGGAGAGGTCAAAGGTAGAACCGAGGCAGTCAAGGCAAGGGAGTCAGGGAGATGCTGGGCGGGGGCCAGAGGACCCGGGGCTCCCACCAGCCTCTGCCTTCGGGCTCATGAGGCCTGAGAGAGCGGAGCGCTGGCGGGACAAGGGTGGCTGAGGCAGCGCAGCGCAGGCCGTCACCTGAAGGGCTGGCTGTCACCATCGCTGTCCTGGAACCCCATCTCCTCCAACTTGCAGCGTCGGTAGAGCTCGTAGTGCCGACTGTGGGTCTGCTCCCGGAGGTCCTCCATGTTCACCCGGATCAGCATCTCCCGCAGCTTCACGAAGTCACAGTGATTCTCGTTCTCCACTGAAAGCAGGGGCGTGAGGGGCATGAGACGGGCACGCAGATGCGGGGGGGGGGGGGGCGCGGACAGACAGCAGGGCAGGGGCTGGGTGCCTGGGTGGCTCCGAGAAACACCACGAGGCAGGTGTGCAGATCAGCAGGGGGAATGTAAGACCATGCTTAGGGGCCCGAGGGGCGCCACAGAGCAAAACAAGCATGCAGATGGTTGGGGTACAGCAGGACAGTGGTTGGACGCCTTCGTGGCTCCACGGCACGAGGTAGGCATCGAATAGACGGGCATCGAGACGGGCAGAGGGACAGCAGGAGAGTGGCCAGGTGCCTCGGGGAGCTCCACAGGGTGAGGCGGCCATGAAGACGGGCAGAGGGACAGCAGGACAGTGGTTGGGGCCTCAGCTGGCAGGACAAGAGCAGACTGAGCTGGGGCCCCAGCTGGGCATGGACTCGCCCCACACTCACCCTGCACCACTCCCCAAGGGTACTGCCGTGCTCGAACCAGCTTGTTGCCCACCTTCACCTCCTCTGTGCTGCCCACCACAGCAAAAGGCAGGTGTGCCTGGAAAGGGGCCCAGGTATACATGTGAGCACTTGCTGGAAGGAGGAGAGAGACTCTCACCACCCCTGCCCCCTAGGGAGGGGCTACCAGCCTTTTACAAGGCTCTGGGCTTAGAGGCTCACTTCCCATCTCTCTCAGAGAAATGTTCCAGACTCCTGGTTTTCCTGTCTGTGGGGTGTCCTTCTCAGGGCCAGCAGAGTTCTCTGACAAGACCAGTGACCCTGGCCATGCAAGTACTCACTCCTTCAGTCATCATATTCCCACCCAGAGTCTAGAACCTGTGACACTCAGATCTAGGGGATCCTTAGTACAAACCCAAAATCCAAATCCTCTAGTCTGGTGCCCACAGAATTCAGGCCTGGGAGGCATGGAACGCCTACCGGCGCTGTGCTGTTCGGGATAACATTCTGGGAAGCTGAGTCCCCAGGGACTGTGTCTCAGATTGGTGTCTCCAAGCCCTCTGGCTCTGGAGCCCTGAGGCCTCTGACCAACACTCACATTCATGACCGCATTGATCTCTGCAACAGCCTCGTCGTCGGTGGGAAACTGGTAGATCTGGACTCCATTGCTGACCAGCTCGCCCATGATCTTGATCTTGAACTTGTGGAGCTCGCTCTTGGAGATGGTGTCAGCCTTGGCAATGATGGGAATTATGTTCACCTGTGAGGGTCAGCGGAGGGAGCGGCAGGTTGGTTGACAAGTTTGAGTAATGGTCACTGGCCATGGACAAGCACTAAGAGCAGGAAATCAGGAAGACAGTGGCTCCAGTGAGCAGCTGCAGTCCAAAGCCAGCCACCTGTGGCCACTGCGATATCCGGAACCCCAACAACTGGCTGTAAAGCTTCTCGGGGCCCCAGCTCCCCAACATAACTATCCAGCCCCGGGTTTCCTCACCATGGCATATTCAACTCGGACCAGAATGCTCTGCAGGTCCTCACTGGCCTGGGGTCTGACAGAAACAGTAGTGGTAGCCAAGCCACCCACTAAGCAGGTGAGATGACCAGGAGCAACTCTCCAGGCCAAGGTTACCCCATTTTTCATGGTGACAATTAACTCGTGAAATGGAAAGGCAGTCACAAGGACTGAGAGGTAACTATGGGGGGCATGTGTCCTCCAGGACCCCCAACCCTTCCCGACATCCCATGAAAGTGCCCTCTACCCTCATTCACAATTCAATTCTGAGTCACTCTCCTCTCCTAGTGAGCTCAGAAGAGAGCCAAGGGGAAGCCATGTCAGACAGGAAAGAAGCGAAGGGCAGGACGAGAGATTAAGAGGCTGGGATGGAAGAGGACACTCTGGGCTGAGGGTCAGCAGGAGGGGTTAGTCATTTTGCAAGGAAAATAAATGAATGAATGAATGAATGAATGAATGAATGAATGAATAAAGAAACAAACAAATAAATAAGCAAGGCTGCAAATGAGAAGGAAAGTTGCAACAGGGCTTGGAAGAGTTCAGCGAGGGCCACTGAAATAGCCAGAGGGGACCAAGCTGACCACAGGACAGTCCACTGCAGTCACCACACCTCCTTCCAGAGGCGGATGGCGGAGGTCAGGTGACAAGGAGGGGCATGTACCTTGCTATCTAGTTTCTTCATGGTCACCAGATCCAGGGACTTCAGGGAGTGCCCGGTGGGCGTGATGAAGTAGAGGCAAACGTGGATCCTCGTGTCATGGTAGTCAAAGAGGGAACGGCGGATCTTCAGCTCCTCCTGCAGATAGTTTTCAAACTGCGCGTCGATGTAGTCAACTATGGGCCTGTAACTACAGACAGGTTCATCACCTGGGAGGCAGCCTAGAGCCGGAGCCAGGCTATCCCCACTCTCTCCCCTCCGTGGGAACAGCTTTGCCCTATCTGGTATAGGAGGCTGACCGACCCTTCTTCTATGCCCTCCTAGAGGAAGAGCTGGTCTGTCCAGGGCCCAAGACCTCAGCCCTTCTCTAGCAGCTGCCTTCCTAGGTCACCTTAGGGTGTATGTATGGGGCGGTTTGAAGCAGGAAGTGCTTGGGAAGTTTTAGGATGGAGGTCAACCAGTTCAGGGTGGACAAGGGTAGGTGGGGCCGCCCTTCCCGCCTCTTGCCTGTCATCCTTATTGATCTGATCCCCAAAGCCCACGGCGTCCACGATGGTCAGTTTGAGATGCACGTTACTCTCCTGGAGGTCGTAGGTCTGTGGCCGCAGGCGTACACAGTCCTCGTGGTGACTGGCTTCCTCAGTCTCAAAGGTTGTGTTGAAGAGTGTGTTCATTAGTGTGGACTTGCCAATCCCAGTCTCCCCTGCGAGGGGGAACAGCAGGGAGAGAGGTGAATATCAAAGGCAGAGCCAGGGCTCTCCAGCTGGCAGCTAGAGGAGGTGGGGCTCAAAGACCCTCAGCTCCAGAAGGAGAGGGAAGCAAGCCTCCCTCTCCACTCCTCACTCTCCCATCCTTGGTGGCCTCTGAAAAGCGTGGGGGCTTGGGCTGTTGCTCAGTTTTAGAGTACTTGCCTGGCATGTATAAGGCCCTGGGGTTCCATCTCAGCACCAACCCCTACCCTGCCCGCCCCCAAAAAAGGTCTGTGAAATGGCTGAGCGGGTAAGGCGCCGGCTGCCAAGCCTAGCAACCGAGTTTACTCCCTGAGACCCACATGGTCGGAGGGAAGTGACTCCGTAAGCTGTCCACTGTCATGTGCTCCCTCAAATAAAATGAACAATTTTTCTAAAAGAATGGGCGGGGGGAGGAAAGGAAAAGAGAAAAAGAGAAGAAAGAAAACAATATTCACAAGGAAGAGTCATAAAGGAAGCCTTTGATGTAAGACATGGCTATGCAGGGCATGTGACATTCCCCAGGGAGCAGGGAAAAGGCAGTACCAGGCTATGGATACCGCTGGATGCTGGCTTCAAAGAGACCTAGTCACAAAACACAAGCCTGTTCTGAGCATCACCCTTCTCAGGCCAAGGTGGCCACGGGTCCACAGGAACAGGACCTGAAACCACCAGCAGCTGGTCCCTGTAGCCTGGGCAGCCTCAGCTTTGCACGGTCTCCTTCTCAAGGGATACCTGCAGAGGACCCTGTACAGTCTTGGTGCCTCTGGGAGTCCTAGGCCTTGGACGCATGGAGACTCCCTGGTCAGGTTGTGTTTGTTCCAAAGTGTACTAGAGATTTACTTTGTGACCCAGTGACAAAGCAGGGTCTCATTCACCCTTGTATCCCTGTCACATAGTAAGAAGGGGAGAATACTTTAAAGATTTATTTATTTATTTATTTATTTATTTATTTATTAATTTTTTTGAGACAGGGTTTGTCTGTGTAGCTTTGGAGCCTGTCCTGGATCTCGCTCTGTAGACCAGGCTGACCTCGAACTCACAGAGATCTGCCTGCCTCTGCCTCCCAAATGCTGGGAGTAAAGGCGTGAGCCACCACCAACCGGCCAAGATTTATTTTTATTTATGTGTGTGCGTGTGTGCGTGCGTGTGCGTGCCTGTGTGTATGTGCAGGTACCTATGGAAGCCAGAAAGAGGGTGTCAAGTTCCCTGGAACTTGAGCTACAAGTAGCGGTGAGGCACCTGACATGGGTGCTGGGAACAGATATCTGGTTCTCTGGAAGAGCAGCAAGTGCTCTTAACCACTGGGCCATCTCTCCAGCCCTGTGAGGTTTTTTTGTTTTGTTTTGTTTTGTTTTAAATAAATGAATGAACTTGTGACTGTGAATTTCTATGATAAACACCCACAGTTTAGGCAGCACTTTTATGGATCCACTTCCGTTTCCTCTGTGGCTACTCTGAGTCAGGCAGGTCCTGGCCCTAATCCTGTTCTTGATCCTGGCAGAGGCAAGACCAAAGCCTGAACCCAAGATCTCCCTCTGCTTGGGAACCCCCTACCCCAGCTTGACAGGTGGCTAACACAGACTTCCTAGAAGTCTCCCCCATCTTCTGCCCCGGCCAGGCCACCACTTACCCACACAGAGAATGTTGAAGCTGAAACCCTGGGTGACTGACTTGCTGACCAGCTGGTCAGGGAGGCTGTCAAACCCCACATGGCCGCCCAGGGACAGACTCCGGGGCTCAGGCTCTGCATTCTGCCAAGAAAAGCACAGCAAGACAGTGAGCTCCCTGGGAAAAGAGGTGTCTGTGTCAGACCAGCCCTGACCCTGAGCCCCCTGGGAAAAGAGGTATCTGTGTGTCAGACCAGCCCCTGGTGCCTGGGTTCTTAGCACCACCCAGGACACACCTTGAAGTCACCAGGGTTCCAACTCCATGCCACACTCCCACAGAGGGACCCTGAGTCCCCCGACTTTTGAGACAGGCTGGCCTTGAACTTGCTATCCCACTGCCTCGGTCTCCAAGGTGTTTAAGATGATGAGTATTTACCACACAGCCGCTCCCTAGATCTATTCATTAAACAGGGTCTCATGCAGTCCATGATAACCTTGAATTTGCTACACAGCCAAGAATGATGTTCAGCTTCCAGCCTCTGCTTCCACCACGTGTGTGCTGATATTACAGGTGTGCACTCCGTGCCGGGTTTATGTGGTACTGGTGACCCCAGGACTTTACGCATCCTTAGGCAGGCACTCTGCCAACTGAGCTAGATCCCTAGCCTTCCCCTGGATCTTCAAAAGTCCAAAGGCACAGGTTGGGGAGTGTATATTCATGCAGCCAGTTCTGAGGAAGGTGGAGATGCTGCCACTCCCTCACTGGCCCTTTCCCAGCCCCACCTTGAGTCCATCAGATGGTCCTCCCTGTCAGGCTGGACTGGTGGCCCTCCACATCCACTTTCCACTACTCATGTATCAAACACAGAGTCCCTGCAGGGACCCGGCTACAAGAGCCAACACTCCTGAAGACGGATCCAAGACTAGGGCTCAGGGGAGGCGTCTGCTTCCTCCTCAGTGGTAGTCTCTGGAGATCTAAGGCTCTGGGGTCTCCAACCCTACCAGAGCCAGGACTGTTTAGAAAGAGGATTCTGGGAGAGCATGTGGAGACCTGACCTCAGCAGAAATGTGGGCATCAGGCTCCAGTGATCAGGGACCACTGGAGTTGGTCTGAAGCAATAAAGCCCAAAGAGAGAGTCAAGGCTGGACTCAACTTTGTGCAGACATTTTCTCTGGCTTGCCTGGGAGTGGGAGTAAGATGCCACCCCGAGGGCAGGTTGAGGCCCACATAGCTCCACGTTGGGCAGAACCATACCTCCTTCTCCCTCAGTGCCTATGCCCTAACCACCACCAGGGACAGGAAGGCACGCAGGAGTCTCTCCTATCCACAGCTCCACAGTGGAGCTCTGGGTAGTCACGGCAACCCTCCCAACTCAGGGAGGCCGAGAGAGAACCAGCTCCAGAGTTATCCTCTGACCTCCACAGGTGTGGGTGTGCCGTGGTACATGCATCACACACACACACACACACACACACACACGGTGGGCAAAGAAGTCAGGGGTAGACAGGAGGCCCTGTGCCTTCTGCTACCTAAGAGCCTCCTCAGCACCTAGACGTCAGCTCCCTGCAGCCTGTCTGCTGCCTTGGCCTGAACATCTCTAGCCAGTGTGGCCTCTGGCACAAAACCCCAACCTGCCTTGGGATACTAACACCTGTCCCAGTCATGCCTAAGTACGTCCATCAGCAGCCTAGATCTCATGTGACTCTTGTACCCATTTCAAACAAGCCAGGTTTGCCCGAAACCTGTTTCTCCAGAGACTCTGGGTGGAGCCTATTTCTCACAGTGACCCTTCCCCCATCGCTGCCCCCAAGGCTTCACGTTCCAATTCACCCACTCACTCTTTTATTTTATTTTATTTGCATTGGTGTTTTGCTGCATGTATATAGACGGTGTGAGGGTGTCAGATCTTGGAGTGACAGACAGCTGTGAGCTACCATGTGGGTGCTGGGACTTGAACCCAGGTCCTCTGGAAGAGCAATCAGTGCTCTTAACCACTGAGCCATCTCTCCAGCCCCCTCACAAGTCCTCTTAAGGTTGCAAATGTAACCTGAGAAAGGGGCCACCAAGGAGCTTTCTTTCCCTGGTGCCCACATCAGAAACAATACATAGAGTCTTTCCCACCCACCCCTTTGCCTGGCATTCAGGCCTTCCCCCCAGGCTCAATTCCAGCCCCACTGGTTACTTCTAAATTCCTGTGTGTGTGTGTGTGTGTGTGTGTGTGTGTGTGTGTGTGTGTGTGTAGGGGTGTTGTTGTTTTGTTTTGAGACAGGCCCAAGCTGGCTTTGAATTTGTTGTGCCAAGAATGACTCTGAACTCCTAATCCTCACGCCTCTATCTCCCCAGTACTGGAATCACAGGCATTTGCTGCCATACCTAGTTTGATGCAGTGCTGGAGATCAAACCCAGGGCTTTGTGCATGCTTGGTGAGCAGACTACCAACACAGCCATGCCGACATTCCCCCTTCTTTCACACCATTTAATTAATGTATGCATTGAGTGGGGTAGGGGTGGGGCTCACACATGCTGCAACGCTCCTGTATGGGTAGAGCTTGTCAGTTCTCTCCTTCCGTCACGCGGATTCCAATTGGGGGGAGGGTTGAATTTGGGTGGTCGGCCTTGGCAGCAAGCACCTTAACCCACTGAGCCATCTCTCAGCCCCTAAGTCTCCCTTTTAGCTCAGCAGCTTCCCTGAACTCTGGAGCTCCCAGGGCTCTCTGCTTTTTCGCTGGCACCTGACCTTGCTGGCCCCTACACAGCACGTCAGGCCTTCCCAGACAGTGGTCCTGTTTCCTGTCACCAATCCTTAACTTTTTTTTTTTTCCGGTTTTCCGAGACAAGGTGTCCTGGAACTCACTCTGTAGACCAGGCTGGCCTCAAACTCACAGATCCACCTGCCTCTGTCTCCCGAGTGCTGGGAGTAAAGGCGTGCGCCACCACCGCCCGGCAGTCCTTAACAGTTATGTATCGTGGTTCTCCACCTCTTCTCCCCACTTCAGAAAGCTCTCCATGGGCTGGGGAAGCCATGTTCTCTATGCTTCCCACCCTTGCATGCCATGACGCTATGGCTCAGTTTCAAGTTCACAAACAGCATCTTCAAATGTTGCCACATTGCAGGTGCCACCTGCCCACCTTACACAGGACTTCATTATTTAGTCTTCCTTCCTGCTTGCGGCAGCCTGAGGATCAAATGCAGGACAGAACAGGCTGGAGCTTATTTTTAGGTGAAACTGAAAATCTCCAAAACTGAAGGCGTGCTGTGCTTGCGGAGAAGACTGCGTATTTATTCACGCTCTCCTTCCAAGGGTGACACAATCAGGATGCAATCCAACATCCTGTAGTCTGCCGCCAAAACTGACCAAGTCAGCTGCGTCTGGAAACCACACACACACACACACACACACACACACACACACACACACACACACACACTCCACAGCAGAACACTTGCAAAAAAAAAAAAAAGAAGAAGAAGAAAGGGAGAAAAACCAGGCCAGCCTATGCCTCACTCCCCGCAACTTTCTGACAATTCTGGGCTCCAGGGGCTAAAATGAGTGCTGGGGAACGCACAAGCCCACCTACCCAGGCTTAGCAGCCCTGCCTCTTCTTCCCTCACGCAATGTGGCTCTCTCTGTGGAAGTGTGTGGAGGATGAGAGGTCATCACCCCCAAGTTATTGCCCAGGCTGCACTGCGTCTACCCAGGAACATCAGGGACCAGAGTGGACGTCCTTCTCTGGTGCACCCACACACAGAATAATGGCTACGGCCCTGAGAGAAGACAGTGTCCTTCCCTGTCCTCAGGAGACTGATGTGACCTTCTGGCTTTACTGAGGGATGACGCTCGCTAATGCCGGCCTTCCTGATCACACATTTGGCATCAATAACTCGTGACCTACTTACTGCAAAGTGTCACCCTCCCCTCAGATGTTCGATGGCCTGAGCAGTCACAGCAGAGGAAGAACTAGCAACACCCCAGGTGTCCCCAACATGATGCAGTGGCCAGGACTCAGACACAACATCAGGTCTCCCACTGGGTAACAACCCTGCCCTCTGGTGGTGGCCAATCAGCATGATGCCAAAGCAAGTGGCCCAGGGGGGGCCTTTGTGACTATCCTGTGATCATCTGTGGAGCTAGCCTAAGACTAAAGCCCTCTCACAAAGGGCAGCAGGGCCAAGAAAATGGCAGAGCAGTCAGGGAGCTCCTGTCTGCCCTACCTCTGGTCCCTTCTCTACACGTCTGGCATAAATCCCTAGCTGGGCAGGACCTCAGCACTGTGACTGCCAGTCTCCACAGAACAATGCATGCACAGGACAGAGGCAAGGAAGGCCAGGCGTCTGAGTTTGCGGCCTCAGAGAGGAACAGAGCTCACAAGACGATACCAGTCATTTGTTAAGAACTATCTTGTGGAAAGCTGGGCGTGGCGGTGCACGCCTTTAATCCCAGCACTCAGGAGACAGAGGCAGGTGGATCTCTGTGAGTTTGAGGCCAGCCTGGTCTACAGAAGGAATTCCAGGACAGCCAGGGCTACACAGAAAAACTCTGTCATGAAAAACCAAAAAAAGAACTACCTTGTGGGACTGAAGAGATGGCTCAGAGGTTAAGAGCCCAGGCTGCTCTTCCAAAGGTCCTGAGTTCAATTCCCAGCAACCACATGGTGGCCCACAACCATCAATAATGAGATCTGGTGCCCTCTTCTGGCAAGCAGGTGTATATAATAAATAAATCTAAATAAATACATAAATCTTAAAAAAAAATCACCTTGTGTGAACTAAACCAAAAGAGCTAGAGTCTCTCACTTAGTTTTTCCCACCCTGTATGGCAATAACCAGGGCCTAGCCACGCAGGGATGGAGAGCAGAACAAGCCCTTAGTCAAAGCACTCTGCTCTGTTGCCTTCCAATATGCTTAGAAGACTCCCAATCCATCACAGTCAGCCATCACTGGACACATCTGCTCTGCGGCAGGCACTGGGACAGCCAGCAGTGAGAAAGTGAGGCCACCACATCCTTGACCCCAGGCTCATTCTAAACTCAAGTGCCACCAGAGCTCAGCAAGGCACCGTAAATGGACAAAGGATCGATACAGCAATGCTGATCAATAACGGTATGTATGCTCTGTATCATAAATGCTGATCTGTAACTGTAA